AAAATATCAAATAGATTAAAAGTCCATTCAGGTTTACTATATCTTCATTATTTGATAACAAAGAGGAATAATAAAGAAGATAAAGCCCGCCTTGTTTTATTCCCAACAAATTGTCAAAGGCATCAGATAGAAGTCCACCAAATCTTATTCTGAGACGCACAAACGCAAACATAGATTTTATAATGGCCACACATTTACTGCTGACTCCATTTCGAAGTAATTTATATATCAAAATTCTCCTGCTTAATTTCGAACGCTTTTTGAAAGTCAACGAAAGCGCAGTATAATTTCTTCTTTGGCTCAACTGTGATAGACGGTAAAAGTAGTTCCTCACCCAATTAAATATTCATACATCAGCAAGGATATGTACGAGACCTGTATCAAATATAATGTATGCATGTAAACGTAGTCACCAATGACAGACACATTGACACATAGACACATAGACACATCAACACTTAGACACATAGACATATCGACACATTGATACATTGACACATCGACACATCGACACATAGACACATCAACACATAGACACATTTTCGGCTCACACCGAACAGCCAGCTATAAGACTCGTTCTTATGTGTAAACAAACAGAAACAATCCAATACTTTAACAATGTTTCGATTTTAAGCTTCTTCGGATATGCAAAATGCATGAGGTACTGATTGGAAAGATCAATAAAATCAAATGTATCTGTAGCGGATCGAATGAAGTTGAAAAGGAAGATGTGTCAATTTTATTTGAATTATCTTGATATATGTCATCATAATACTTATCGGCGATCAGATATAAATTACAAGAAGTATTATGCTTCTTAATTAAATGAATGAATATTGATTTGCAAGAGCATACAGGAATGCTATGGCAATACATAATATATACACACAGTGACAAAAGACTGATAACAGAGAACAATACACAAATAATAATATAACTAACCAAGAATATCAGATCTTGCTTTCCATGCATTCTTCAAATAGTTACAGAGCTTAATTGTAAGCGATCGTGAAGAAGCTTTAAACAAATAAGATAATTTTTAAAGTTTTTTGCCATGAACAATGATAACGTGGCAAAAAAAAAAATTCTCAGATTGTTCTATATGCCGAACATACCAATACAAAATGAAATTCGTTCTCAACACATTGCATGCATGCTGCAAAATACACATAGACGCAGTTCTCTTGGTATATCAGAGATTCTCTCGGTATATCAGAGAAACGACCAACTTCAACATTTAGTTTCAATGTATCACTTCGTAGTTTTGAAAGAATGTGAACATTATTAATGTAGCTTAAATAATTCTCCAGACAAATACCACAATCATATATATCTGCTGACCATTTTCGCAGATATTGGTCTTTAATGAGTGTCTTTATAACATCATATATAAAAGCTGGTTTATGTATAACAATATTTTACCAATATTTTAGGATTAATTGTTTTCTTAAAACATGCATAGGTAAATGACCAAGCTCGCCACAAGGAAATCCAATAGGGGCACGTTTACCTACTTTTAAAACAAACTTATAAATAATCTCTATGTCGTTGGCGAGATGAAAACCCCATATTTTTGAAGAATAGTTCAGTGCCGATCCAAGCATACTGTCGTAAAGAAGACACTGTTTATGTGTAGTAATGTAGATATTATTCAAACAGTTTAAGAGTGACGAGAGAGCTCTTGCTCCTTGTTGAGACAGTCGTTTTTTGTGTGTGTAAGAATTTTCCGTTAAAGTGTTGCAACATTCCAAGGTACATTCCAAGGTAAACGTTGGAATTTACGATTTGAAGTTCTTGGTTATTATATATGAAACGATTGTTTACAGGGTGCCATATATTTCTGAACACAACTACTTAAGTTTATCAGCGTTAACTTCTATGTTCCATTTTCTACAATATTTGGATAGATTGTCAAGTAACTGTTGAAGAAGTTTGGGAAATTTGGCAAACAAGACAGTATCGTCTGCAAAAAGTATCCAATAGATTAAAAGTCTATTCAGGTTCACTATATCTTCATTATTTGATAAAAAAGAGGAATAATAAAGAAGATAAATCCCGCCTTGTTTTATTCCCAACAAATTGTCAAAGGCATCAGATAGAAGTCCACCAAATCTTACTCTGAGACGCACAGACGCATACATAGATTTTATAATGGCCACACATTTACTGCTGACTCCATTTCGAAGTAATTTATATATCAAAATTCTCCTGCTTAATTTCGAACGCTTTTTGAAAGTCAACGAAAGCGCAGTATAGTTTCTTCTTTGGCTCAACTGTGATAGGCGGTAGAAGTAGTTCCTCACCCAATTACATATTCATACATCAGCAAGGATATGTACGATACCTGTATCAAATATAATGTATGCCTGTAAACGTAGTCACCAATGACAGACACATTGACACATAGACACATCGTCACATAGACACATCGACACATAGACACATAGACACATCGACACATCAACACATAGACACATCGACACATCGACACATTGACAGTAATTACTTGTATAACACACAATATTTCAGAAAGTTTGAGAACTAGTACACATTTATTTTTTCTGCATAGATGATTTATGGTTAAGATTTGTTAACCATGACTATTCTTGCATTATTCAGTGTGCAACATTTAAGTTTTCTCCTTAAGGTTAGTATCTCAGTTACAATTATAGTAATTGATCAATTATAGTTGGTTTTGAGAATTGTACTGGTTTAGTTAGAAATTGTCATGACGAATGTATACAACTTTTATAGCATGAATTTACTGGAACCAAAATGTAATCCTTGGAAAGAATGTAAAGTGGATATTATTGGAATGTGTCAAGGTACAGTTTTTTAAAGCACATTGATGGTATTATATTACATGTGTAATAAAATGTTTTCTGCTGTCTTTTATTTGTTGCAGTTTCCCATATATATATATATATATACATACAGTCTATATTGCTCTTTGACACAGCCTATGTTGCTAGATTGCTCTTTGACACAGCCTAGGGCGTTAGATTGCCGTTTGAAACAGCCTACGGCGCTAGATTGCAATTTGACACAACCTACGGTGCTATATTTCTCTTTGAAACAGCCTACGGCACTAGAGTGCTCTTTGACACAGCCTCCGGCGCTAGATTGCCAGTTGACACAGCTTACGGCGTAAGATTGCCTTTTGATCCTAACCCTAATCCTAAACCTACGTACCCTAACCCAAACCCTCATCCTTTACCCTAATCATAACCATAAACCCTAACATTAACCCTAAATGTGACCCCAAACCCCAACCCTAGCCTAGGACGCTAGTTTATTGTTGGACACAACGAACGGCGTTAGATTTCTATTTGACACAACCTACTCCAGTAGATTCCTATTTTAAACAGCCTTACGGCTGTAAATTTCTCTATTACACTTACCATGTTACCAGAGGACCCTAGATGCCAAAGTGACTCAGCACAAGGCGTTATATTGTTCTTTGTCAAAGCCTAGTTATGGCGACAGATTGACCATAAACCAGTGTCAGTGTGTCGATGTGTCCATATGTCGATGTGTCCATATGTCGATGTGTCAATGTGTCAATATGTCGATGTTTCGATGTGTCGACATGTCCAGATTAGCCATAAAATATAATGCCGATTCAATGATTAATAATCCGCTGATGAGAACTATTCCTTCCGTTTCCTCCAGTTGACGAATATGTACAAGTATACCATGTAGAACAAAAATAGCATCAATAGTTAAATGTCCGGGACGAAAACCAATGGATGAGACACTCACTAAAACGATGGGTCGATAGTTATTTGGGTCGGTCAAATTTCCACTCTTAATAACAGCATTAACAATACCAACTGCCCAGGTATCAGAAAAAGTTCCACTTTCAAAGGTATAGTTGAGTAGTTTCTTTAAAATTGGAGCAAACAATGTTGGACTTGCATCAAACATTTCGCTGATAATTTTGTCATTTCCCGTACTTCTGCCTTATTTTGATTTTGTTATCGATTTCACAATTTCATCTTCAGTAATTTCAGAGTCTAAAATATCTATGCCTATATTTTCAAAATGTTCATTATTTATCAAGTTCAATACTTCAATACAAAGATCGGGTGGATCTTCGCCAAGAATTCTTTCGAAATATTTAAAATCACATCATTTGTAAGTGTGCATCGTGTTCTACTCGTAGGCCTTATAGTCGACCAAAATGTTCGTGGGTCAGTTTTTGCACTGTCACAAAGTTCAATGCCATTTCGCCTTTATGGTTTACTTTGGCTTGACGTTTCGTCCTGTTAAATCGGTTTCAAGCCTCGACATACGATACATCGGTTGGATGTCGAAAAAAGAAGTTTCTGAAAACTCTGATTTACAATTATCACCAAACCAATAATTGTGTGATCAGAATGAAAAGCGCGGGAAATATTAATCCTCATTTTGATTTGTAACTAAAAATGTCTGTAAAAACCACAACTGTGACGGATTTCTGCGAAGACAGAAAACTTAAATTGAAGAATTTTGATTTTGAATTGAGTACTTGATTGATTCTCGGTGCTCCGGAGGGGTCAGCAGATTCTGCTCCACTAGGTACACCCGTCGTGTTGCTCATGTAAGTACATTCTCAATGATAAGATGTATACAATATTAGGTCAATGTCAGAAAAATATAAACTTTTTTGTATGAGGCTGAGAAATTGGGATGGGCGAGGTTGTACCGAGCCCTTCACCAGTTTTGTACCGAATACAAAAAAGTTTTTGTTTTTCTGACATTGACCTATAATATTGTTTTTATACTGAACTTGAATTAATACATTGAGAGCTATTTTAATTGTAACACAAATTTCAAACATATTTTCATCCCTAAATGAACCCCTGATTGTGGAAACTGACATTGCACAAAATATAGCTTTGTTACTATATTTAGGAAATAAACACAACTATTTGCAGTATAAAACAACTATATTACAAATCAAAATATTGTAATCAGAATAATGATAATATTTTCATTAAAATCAATTTCCTTTGTAGAAAACACTAGTAATGATGGTTGGTTTGATGTGTAATGTGTTTATGTTATGTTGTATAGTTATTATGGCAACCCATGGTAAGATTACTAGATTGCAAGAATAATGGGGAAAATAAAAACTGATAGTAAAGCATGACAGATGCTGCGTGAACGTGACATTTAAAATAAAACAAGAAATAACTAACAAAATAGTGATTTCAATTTTGTTTACTACTTTGAATAATTTTGAACTAGGTTGAGTGTCATTTCGTTATTTATCTTCATAAGGTTTATATCATTTGTCGGTGTATAATGTTTCTTATATTAATTTTTGTATATAAAACACACGAATACACACGTGTTTGTAAACCTGCAATATATTTTAGCACATTACTGAAATTATGAAGATAAAACTAATTTTCACATTTTGTTGGTAGTTGTACCGAATGCGTTTTTTTTTTACTGAAAGTATCCTCTACCAGTGTATAGACATACTATCGGCAAACACTTTCTCTTTAAAATTAAGTTATAACAATATTGTCCTCGGTAGTGTAACTGCTGTTTATCATGCAAGACGAACTGTTGATATGTGTTTAATGGAGTCAAATGTTCTTTTTAAAACCAACCATGCCTTGTTGTTAACATAATCCATTTATTATTTTACTTTGGCCTTGAGCATCACTGAAGAGACATTAATTGTCGAAATACAAATATAGTGCAGTAAAATTGGTACCGTTTACTTAATTGTCTTAACAATTATTTCACTATATGATTAATTGTATATTTAGGTCAATCAATTCAAAAACACAAGGAGCTAGAAATTGCAAAAGCATGTATTGGACAAGACGGATTATTATTTTGCGATATAAGTGGTGACCCATTGCCTGATTATGAATGGTTTAAAAATGGCGTCAAAATAGAACATGGCGGTCGTTTTAATATCAGACGAAGTCGTTTTGGATCATCCAGGTAAATATTAACAAACCAAAAGAGAGACCAACAAAACCATGACAAACAAACGAAAAACGAAAAATATTACAACCGAGCAACACAATCTTTATTTACAGCTAATTTCCTAATGCTTGTAGAGTAAAACTTTGACTGGCTTGCTTGCTTTGTTTTTATAAAAGTTAGCTCAAGCATTGTAATTAAGATTGACATCTGCAAACAATATAGACAATATAGACAGGCTTATTAAACAAGTATATATTATATTTAAATTTGATTGAAAGTTATCCCAATTACAATTGTCAATATACAAACAAAGCAAGCAAGCTAACCAAAGTCTTACCCTGCATGCATTAGGAAATTAGCTGTAAACTAGCGATGATTTCAGATGCTCAGGAAAAGACAGATACTATTTTATGTATAACGTTTATTTTGTTTTTACCATTATTTAATGTGCTGAAAGCAAACGATTAGTGCGCAATAACATGTTTCATGAATATTGTTCTATAGGGAATAGTATTCACCAGAAGTAGTTTAAGATATTTTTGAATATACAACTTTTGCAACTGATTCATCAGCCTTTTATGAGAAATTTTACGATGAAATATTTAGTTTCAAGCTGTTCAGATATCAACAAAATATTTCATCGTTAGATTTCCCTCACACAATTACAAAATTGCACATCGATACTACAACCAACATTAAATTTGAATATATAGGATATCAAATATGATAATACGTTAATATGCAAAAAAGATTTAAGTGACTGGTATTTACTAAACATGTATACATTAATTTTAAGGTGGAAATGTAGCATTTTTTTTGCTTTGCTTTAGTAATTCTATTTTGTTTTATGTACTGTCTTTATGATTTAAAAGGGTAATGATTAGAAATTTGCAAGATTGTGATAGTGGAGTCTACGAATGTAAGGCTTCGAATTCGGCAGGGACAGAATCAACTAGTGGCAGGCTCAGTTTCGCATCAGGTAATATTTTTTTCAATAAAGCGGTTTGTTTGCTAAACTGAACTACTTTTCAACATTGTTATTAAATCTTTTAATTTCGAAATACTATAAAACTCATACGCCAAACGTCTAAATTAAAGTATAACAATTTGACTTTACATTTCATAGAATATACCCGAGAAAATAATAATTCAAGTGAAAAATGAAAACAAAACATTTTCAAATTATAATCACATTGTATGAAAGTGTGTTATTTGACACAGAAGATTGTTAAGGCTAATGCAAGTACAAAGTACAATCCCGGTTATAAGTCTAACACGGCAGGTTACAAATATAGGAGTTCCTGAAATATCTCCGCCTTTTATTTATTAATGCACATATATAATTGGAAAGAGAGGCGAAAGATCCAAACGGATATTCAAACTCATAAATCAAGATCAAACTGCCAATCAATGACATGTCGCAAAACTAAAGTAGTTCACATTTGAGGAAAAGCGGCCAAGATTGTCTTTACGACAATTGGAACAAATCCGGCATCATCTATGTCATCCCTTCGTAAATTTTATGGACGCCATCACGAGTTGGTTGACCGTTATGGAATAACCGTTTCACAGATGATATCGGATATGTTCCTTATGTCGTAACTACAATACCCTTCCCTTTTCACGAATGTGACTTACCGAATTAGACTATTTACCGGATTTGTAATAACATAAGCAACTCGACAGGTGCCACATGTGGAGCAGGTCTGCTTACCCTTCTGGAGCACCTGAGATCACCCCCAGTTTTTGGTGGGGTTCGTGTTGCTTAGTCTTTAGTTTTCTATGTTGTGTCATCTGTACTATTATTTGTCTGTTTGTCTTTTTATTTTTGGCCATGACGTTGTCAGTTTGTTTTCGATCTATGAGTTTGACTGTCCCTCTGGTATCTTTCGTCCCTCTTCTATGAAACAGCTATTTCACATTTGGCCAACCAATTCGTGATTGCGTCAGTTAAATGTTCGAAGGGATTATTTCAACTTCACCACTTGGAACTCGTGGTTCAAAAGCTTCCTTGTAATCGATATATTTTAATGTTTTCAATGAACACAAGTTTAACGAATTGGTTGACCGATACGATGTATTGTTTTTTAACTAACAAGAATCATGTTCACCTAGGATTCAGAAATAGTCGTCTAATTTACCCACAGTGTCCTATTCCGTCCTGAAATTTGGTCCATGTGATTCCCTTCGTATTTTCACATGACTTGTATTTTAAAAATAGATTTTCGAGATTTGAACTTTAGTTACAATTTATATTGTATATACGGATGTTGTTTTCATATCTGCAGATTGCTGATCTGGTGACGTTGAAGAAAAACAGATTGATAAAGAAAATAAAGTATTGTTAAAACTGCATATACAATTCGTTTATCATTGGCAATTTTACGGTTACATATAAACATCGAAATATATTGAAAACGCATTCAAAAGGCGAAATCAAGGAGAAAACACAGAAACTATTCAAACAAATAAAATTATCATACATGTACGTGAAAAGACTATACTATACGCTTAGTCCATCGTTTCACTTGATAAACCTTGTGTTACCGTACATGTCACAAACTAGGAAGTCAATCAGCGGCAGTTTCTAATTATACACATATTTAAGGGATTTTGTCATTTTGAGAAAAAGAAATGTATGTATCAATCGCAGTTAAACTACCTTTTCTTATTATATGATATTGACATTTGTCTGGAGATGTTTCCAATAAATTATTGTGAAAAAAATTATGTCAAAATGCCATATATATATCATAATGTTCACTTATTATATGCGTCTCCCAGCATTTTTAACAAATCTTTACCTGTGTGGTATATATATTGAGTTATAAGACATACTGTTAACTGGTTTAACGTATGGAAATAATTGATTTTTGTTCATGTTTTTTTTTCTTGAGGTAAGATCTTAATTTTGTGTATTGAATAAATTCCTAATCCATTTATTGACAAATGTTACATTGAGGCGTTTGTGGTATTTTGCATTGACTTACCAACATAATGTAAGCCTCAAGACGAACATTCTAGAATCATTATGAAAATAAAATAAAAAACCTTTTTTTAGGTTAAATTGAATAATACATTGTATTATTCTGTGGATGGCTCCCTCAAGGGTGACAGTGGATTAGAATTATGATCATTTAGGAAAGTCGCCTTGACCTGTAAGAATACAGACTACTTTTCCCAGTTCAATTTCATGGCATCTTAATCTGTAAATCTGAATTTAAATTAACCAACACTTATAATGAGAGATAGCAGATATATTCGTGAAATTTGAAAAGATTTGAGGAGATTGCAAAATCTCACCAACAACGCATAATACATAGTTTACACTGAAAAAAAACAAAGACAAAAATTTAATTTAAAAGAAGTTAAACTCTGTCATATAACTATACATCATTCTGTTGATAGTATTGTTGTTCATTTGCAACATTACGAAAGTTGATGCTTACTAATGTGTCTAGACGTACCTTAAAATCTATATAAAAATAAACAGAAAAAGGTAATACAAAGAAAGCAAAACAGAAACGTAACGGAAGACAAATAAACGCAGAAAACGCTATGGGTATAGAAAATACACCTTAACGTAGCAATTTAAATGTATACATTATAATGAAATAATTCAACACAAAAAACGGCAAAACTATATATACATATAATATATATAAAAACCATCAGAAGTAAAAAAAAGATAGACAGGAGAGAAATAAATTGCAAATGACATTCAAAAAGAAATCACAAGAGAGATAAATGATGGAGACAAAACCAAACAGAAGGAAAAAATTAAATACTTCTGCTCCAAACTGAAATAAACGAGTGGAATACGACAACTGTTAAATTGAACAATGAAGCCATAAGACAAACGGTAAAGATATCTCAAACACACAGTTGTAAACGTTAAAATTCCGAGTTTTTTCGCGAGATGTGCATGCTCGCGCATAAACTTGGAAACTTAATATAAAATCAAGCAACACGTGCATGAACAACCAGTCTGTTCTATGCTCCTTATGAATGTCAACTAAAGATGAAGATCCGGATCTTCCCTTAATGCAATGGATAACAAAATTACATAAGAGCCCTTATATTCCGGGAACTGCAAATTATTTCACGAACCTCTATTTAAACTATCAACATCAACTTTATGAGCAATAAAAGACGGACTTCAGAGTTACCGTGAAATTACTTACTCCATGGGATGTGTAAATCAGATGAAGATACTAATTTCAAAAATTCCAAATAATTGTTTGAGTACATGGAATTTAATAACTATTTTTTGCAAGAGAAGAAAAACATTTCAACCAACTACATTAATATTACTCATTCTAATCTGTAAGGGGCCCTCGGTGGCTGAGTGGTCTAAGTAGTCCAGCTACTGTATGTATCACTAGCCTGTCAACTATGATGTTGTGAGCTCGAATCCCGACATGGCAGGTGCTTTCGACTCAATCCTAATTAGTTATCAGTTTTCCTGTCGAAGGTCAGTTGTTCTCTTCCGTCATTCCCTTAGTTCAGTATACAAATGAGGAGGTGTGTAATAATTGCCAGTGAGTAAACCACCAACCCAAGTCCAAATGATGTGGATGTAATCTGTTATAGGTCACCGTTGTGTCTTCAGTTATGAGAAAAACCCGTTAAAAGGCCTTAACATGACAATTACAATATACTTTATAATCAAACACAAGTATATTTTCCATAAAATTTTATTGAAAATTACATAACTGGTCGTTATAAAAGTTATCATTCCTTAATTCAAACCTGCAAGAAATGAAAGACTAAAATTAAATGAACATTTTTAACATATCAACGATTGGTTGCTTTTTGATTAACCTAAAAAATTAGATAGTATAGTACATTTGTAACATGATAACAAAAAAATAACCTGGATAGGAGAATGAAAAAAAGGAGAATTAGAACATTAATTGAGATAAATCAAATTAAGTGAATAAGCTTTGACTGAATATTATGTAATAAATAAAATAAAAAGAATCAAGTGATTGAAAGGGATATACACTAATCAAAGATCTTAAACAGTGATTTTATTCTTTTTTATGCGTTTCTTTTACGCATTTATTTGATACCGAATAATAATAATCCGTGTAAATTACAAGCTTTAAAAGAGAAATGTCTGTTAAAAGTGGTATACGTATGTTATGAAGGTTTTTTTTTTAAAAGCACACATGATTGAAATTAAGTCAAGATGAGACATGTAACCTTTACCCTTCTCGGATTTACAACAAATTCTAAAACATTACTACAGACTGCAGATCCAATGTTATCGTTTCCAAATCAATTTCAATTTTTTTCGCTGAAACATATATGTGTCATATTATAAATAGATTAGAAGCAAACCTTGGTCTATTGTTGTTGTTATGCTTTAAGATAAAACATTCAAATCTCTTCTTGTTTTAACCATTTTACATTCTAAAGGTATGGTCCAATTTTGCGCTCCGGCGGAAATGTATGTTATGTTGTTGTTATATGTTATATAGCCATTTGAAATCTGTAAAAAATGAGAAAAGCATACTTTATGACTATGAATTTGTTTGAATGGCTGGAAAATAGACAGACATCAACCCTACTACTCAAAACGGCTAAAATATCTAAAGGCCACACTAGCTATTATCTTAATTTATTTTTAAATTTGATATCCCAAATAATGGCCAAACGCATATAAATAAATTTCATTTTTTTTTAACTCTAGATTTAACTTATCTAATTCAATTCTGCAGGCTGTGATTTTTAAAGCTAAAATAGACTTATGCACAATATTAAACCGATAACAGCTTTATCGAGGAAAAGTCTCTAATACAATACATCTACGTTGCCCTGTATATCAGGCTAAAGCACGTTAAAAGCCAAAACATTTAAGACCACAAAAATACAGGTATCCTCTGGTAAGGCTTGGTATATTTATATAAAGTATCCAACCTAAAATATTCAATAAGAATGTAATAATAAAGTCAAAACTTTACTGAAATAATCACTTTCCGTTAAGAGGTACATGTACATTCGGAGACTTAAAATCCATACCAGCGTGGCACCGCCCTAAGGGTAGTATATAAACTTATCATAATATCATTGCGCGATGCAAATACTTCCATCATAGTCATTATGTCTATCAAGCTACAGTTTTGGAATGCCGATCATTCGAAAAGGACCTAAGGGTTGATCGATTTTAACCTTTATATTTGTTGTATATTTGTAATGGTCATTCATATAACACATTGTTTATTTTAAAATGGATTCAAGTGTTCAAATCATACGCATATAATGTATAAAGATGATTGTCAACAGAATTGAACTTCAGATATATTAACCTAAGATAAAATTGTGAGTGAACTACAAAATAAAACCCAAGCCCTATAAACTTTGAGAAGATTATGTTAAGTATATTAATTCAAATATAAACCTTTAAAACATGTTTACCCGGGATTATATTCCTTATAACAAATCCTCAGGAACTGTGTAACGGTACATCAATCTCTAGCTCTATAAAATAAGGAGATGTGGAATGCTTGCCAATGAGAAAACTATCCACACCGTATAGTCGGCAATAAAAGGACCCGACGTGAAAAATATGAAACAATTCAATTGCAAAAACTAACGGCCTATTTATAACAAACTAACTTATGAAACACAAATATGACAGCCACAAACTAACTAGCTAGTCGTTTAGGATACTGTCAATTCATTTATTTTTGTGGATATCAATTTTCGTGAATTCATTTAAAATTCGTATGTACTGATTTTCGTGGATTGAGGAACAATTGTATTTTCATGGATATTTGACTTCTTGGTTTTATTAAAGTCTGCTTACAAGCCTATGTACAATTTGCTCTTTGTTGAACGTTTAAATTTGTGGTTTATTTATATTCATGAAAGCCACGAGAATTGGTATGAATAAAAATGAATCCACGATAACTTATACTTATAAGGCATATACACAGACAAACAGAGGGAAAAACACAGACAGACGGACAGACAGACAGACAGAAAGAAAGACATAAGCTTAAATTAAACATTGCGTTGTCAGTTTGTTTTCGATTTATGAGTTTGAATGTCCCTCTGGTATCTTTTGACCCTTTTTTAAAAACATCGTAAAACAAATGGTTTTATAATATGCGTTTTGTATGTGTTTAGTATGATATAATTACTGAATTTATTACCCTTAAAAATGCACGTGTTGTTGTGCTAAGCATACCCTCACTCGTTATCTAAAATATTGGAAAAACGGATGTACGTGTCCAGCAGACACTACAAGCATTCATAAATTACAACTCATGCATTACAGCGAAGCTGTTGACTAAATATGAATTTAAGGCATTCTGTTTAGTAGAACCTGATAATAGTGGGAAGGA